ACACACACATACCTTCAGCTACAGGCCCGAGTGGCTCCTGGTTCTGTTCTGCTGCAGTGACCGTTAAACATTAGCGATGTCTCTAAAGCTGACGATCATCTTCTCTAATCAGTGATTAACGGTCAGCGTTATAGATTTACCCGAGTACCGCGCGCGTGTGTGTTAACTGATCAAAAGCCAATCCTGCTATGAACTCATGTAAAAGTAGAGAAGAGGAGCTTTACACCGTGTACAGTGCGAGAGGCCATGGTCATGTGACGTCACGCGTAAACAGGGAAGGAGCTGCTGGTTGAGAAGACCAGCCCATGCTGACACTGCAAGCTGAGGAGGTTCAGATTTCTGTGGTCTTTACCGGCTGTAGGTGGAGCTTCACCTCAAGCGCAGGATACGAGCTCCTTCCCTGCTAACAGAGTGACGTGGAATCAACATGGCCGCTCTCTCCGCATCAGAAATAAACACGGCAGCGCTTCTCCCCTTCCCGTGAGGTACACTGTGTTTACACACATTAGCTTCAGATCAGTCAGCAGACAGACAGAAACTCGCTCTACAGCTCACGGCTCTGAGGGAGACACACAGCACTCTGCACAGGTAGCTGCTAGCGTTTTGCTAACAAAAGACAGGGAGGTGTTATTTCTCCCACTTCACCAGTCGAACATGCTGAGGTGCAAAAAGATGTCACTCCAACCTGCACATTAACACGTACGAGTCAAACCTGTCGCGGCACGGCTCGGTTTCACCCCCCAGTGTTCAGAGCAGGAACTGCAGCTGCTTTTAACCCTAACACCACATTTCTGAACACGCTATTTATCTGTCTGTCTGTCTGTCTGTCTGTCTATATCTGTCTGTCTATATCTGTCTGTCTATATCTGTCTGTCTATATCTGTCTGTCTGTCTATTTGGTCTGTATTTATTTATGATGTTGCACAAACACATCATCAGACAAATCAAGCACAAAAATCACCTCTTTTACTTTCTTCAACAACTGCAAACATGCACTAGGTAATGTTTCTTACAGAAAAAACACTGCGGTGACAAATCGTGTAAAATATTATAACATTATAATTTATGAGTCTTAGGGGACTTTAACTTATAACAAACTAAATTATTTTTAAAGAACTTGTAGCTGTGTTTAAAACTGTTTTAATAATGGGGAAATGTTTAATTAGCTTCACTCGGTACAATTAATTATAATTATGGTGAATAATGTATTAATGCTGAATGCAGTATGACAACACAACGATCCTATATTATATTAAATTATATTATATTATATTACATTATATTATATTATCATTTTGTCTCAGGGAGGTTTTCCTCACCACACTGCTTTGTGTCCATTGTTAAAAGCGCTACACAATAGAACTGTACTGAACCGAGTTGAGTGTTGTGTTATCATACGTACACATCTTCTGCTGCAGTGTGCTGGCCTCAAACACACGCTGCAACACGAGCGCCTGCTCCTTCACATCGTCCGGGATCAGCCGAGTGCCCTGAGACTTAAACCGGTTCTACACACACACACACACACACACACACACACACACACACTTTAGACAAGACTGTTTACTATGTTAGATAGATGCCACGGCTGAGTGATATGACAAAAAATCTTATCAACTGCTTCCAATCAGTTTGTAATTAAACACAAAAGCTAATAAAAAGAAATTCAGTGTCTCAGGAAAGTGAATTAAGACATCATTTATCATGATATAAATATTATATCGCTTTAGGGAAATAAGATGTAGTGCCATGGCCAGAAAAGACTTCCGTCTATAGGAAATGTTGTGTTCTCTAATCTGACTATAACTCTGTTCTATTCTGTGTGTGTCTGAAAACCGTTCTCCTCCATGCGCACGAGCTCTGACGACTCACTGGCTATGTAAACTAGGGTATGATGTCACCAGGCGACACGCACCGGCCACTTTCCCCTGAAGGGCTCTCAGCAGTATTCCCCTTACCTCCAGATACATGCACGCAGCCAGGGACTCATTCACCACCACATCTCCGTGTTTAAATGTGGGAAGCTAAACAAACAAACAAACAAACAAACAAACAAACAAATAAATAAATAAAGGCAGAAAGAAAGATGAATAAGAGCTAGTGTATGAGTTTGTGAGTTATATAAGAGTCAGAGGAAGTCAGAAAGTGTGTGTGTGTGTGTGTGT